ACGATCGCCTGCGACGAAACCCATGTTGGGCAGGGGATAACACGCATTTCCCAAGTGATTCATCACATTTTCCGCAACAATGGATTCCATGATTTTGGATAATACGAGGATGAGAGTAACGGAGCGGTAATTAGCTGGGTCACTGCAAGAATCACCCTTGTGTATAGGAGAAATTATCCCTTATTTCCCTGTTTGTGAGAGCACAGCTGTATTGAACATTTGTTGGAATAGTTCGCTTGGTCGTTGCTCGCCAGGTTAATAAGGGTTTTTGGATGGGATTATCTGTCATTGGAGATAAATTTCTTTTTAAACACTGTAGTTTCGATGCTATGATTTTGGGGAAAAATCAATTGAGGTGAGCGTTGGGTGTGATATATCCTCATGTAACAGAGGTAGTCGTAGTCCGGTGTTCTCAGGTTCGGTGAAGACTTAAGCGTACTGACTTTTTAGCATTTCAGCTGCCTCCTTCGTTGTGACTAAAACACGTTCTGCCAATCTTAGCGCTGGAACGCCAGACTTAGCTTTTCTGGTGGCATTTATGTGTTTGTACAGCAGCTTGGGATTTGATATGAAGTTGCGCATAGGCATTTCTTAGTGCATTGAATTGTCTTCTCTCACCACCTTGGTGCAGTGGTTTCGCAGTTAACAATGGGTATACCAGGTTTTGTTGCAAGAAGATCGTTTAATAGCTCTCCATGAGATATTCCTTTGGGAAATCCATCTTTGTGTCCGACTTCGAATCGCAGATCTTTGACCAGTTGACTGGGCATTTGGTCTTCGACGCACTGTTTCACCATTGCCGTCAGGTGATTTGTAAATTCTTTCCAGGGTACCAGGGGATCACATTGTTCGTTGGCAAATTTCCAGTGGAAATCTCTCGCCAAAATTTTAAGTTTTGTGTGGTCAACAAACAAACAGGAGCGAACCGTGGAATTATGCGGTACGGATGCATAGAAAGTGTAGTCAAACGTCAACACAGCATGATCACTAGGCCCTAATGGAGTTATAGTTGAAATCTTTTCCACCATCAGTTCCTCGTTAACTAACACTAAGTACAAAACCGACGGTGACTGTTTGGCTTCATACCTCGTCCATTGGTACACCGGATGAACATAACATCCGAGTCAGCACATATGATGCGTCGGTGCTAACGGTTACGTGATTAGACGCCGGTCGTTCAACCAATCATATGGCCTATTACCTTATATAAAACATGTTCTAATGCTATCAATAAACATAAGCATTTGCTGCCATCATTCCCTTATGTATTTCATTGGTGTCCGCAGTTCGGGTTGGAGCCAATTAAGTTGTGAGCATTACAGTATTCCGATATTCAATACTATTCTGATTACCACATGCGCGCGCTTGCTTCTTGGTCTGTCTGGTAGAATTCTTATTTTACTTGAACTTCCTTGAAGGAGAAAGCTGGATAGAAGAACGTTTTCTACGTCCGATTCACTCTCCAGTGTCATCCGAAGTAATCTGGGTTCTCCGGGGTGAGATAATTTCGGCTGTCGCCGAAGGTGTGTGAGACCCACAGGTTGGGCGATGATTCCCATCTTCGTGCACACAGCATTCCAGCAATTCCGCTTTTTGCCTTGCCTCACAGGCAAATAAGTGTTAATCATGTCTTTCTTTGTTGCAGGCAGAGTTGTTTTCTTTGAATGGGCAGATAATGGAGGCCACTGGGTGTGTGTGGACTCCGAGGTAGCAGGTGCTTCTACTGTTGCTTTTTTTCGTCACGCTTATTTCTACCGTTTGCGTCCGCTGCGGTGGGGTGACCACTAGTGCTGAGCATTTTGATCTTTTCTAGATTTCCGGATCGGGCTTACTGGTGTGACCTGTGAATTTGTGAGCTATTTTTGCCTCAAATGTGGCGATCTTTGAATTCCATCTTTTTCCGGCGGCTGACAAAAGCTTCTCATACTTGTGTGTGATAGAAGTGATGCATTTTACAATCATCATTGTCAAAATCGCAGATGAATCAAGATTATTCCCGGCGCTGCCCGAACTACACAGATATAAATCGAAATTCACGTTTCCAGTTTCGTCTGCCACAGTTATTCAGAGCACATTTTGCAGTATGATTACATTTTGTTTGAATACTCTCAAATGAAAGTTCATATTGTTAATATTGTGGAATGTGGACAATAAATCCGTGGATTGCTCATGCTAATCCGAACGATCGATGCGCCATGAAAACGAGTCAAATGTGCAAGACAAACATAGTCCAAACAAATGAGCTATTGCATGCAATTCTCACTACGAACGATGCGCGCGCGCATAACCCCATAACCACCAAGCTATTTGCGCATCTGTTTACGTGCAGACAGAAATTGCTTCAAATCAAATATTTGTCGCCTTTTCCAGCTCGATCACACTATGCATTATTGCAATCTGCCTATTTTCGTTCTTCTCTCCCATTTGGATTGGTAATACGATCCACTTCCGAGGTTAATTGAGTTGCGTAGTTGATCCCTTCACCGATGAGCGAGGCACCGTTGGAACTCCACCACCACCACCACGAACAACAACAACAACAACGCTACTACCACCAATTTGATATTCGTCATGTGAACCTCACAACGCTGTTCACGAATGATGGGTGAATATCTGATGGTTACCAGTTCGATTGAGGTCATCTGTCATGCAGGTTGCAGCACGGATTAGGAAAAAATTAAAACATCAGAACGAGTTTGACTATGTTTTCATAGGCTTTGCACCAAACCAGTCGTGAACTTCAAACATTTACAAGCTGCTACCATATTTCTACTTTTGTCTCAGTTACTGGCTTTACATGCATTTTGACATTGTTAGGTGTGATCGGTAAACGGAATTAAGCAACTTGCGGAGGATTTAGCAGGAAACTTCAAAAAGAGAAACCACAGGTCCAGACACTTGATTATCGATCATCAGGTTTAGTGAATACATACGGGATGCAACGTAGTCCATGTGCGTTAATATGGTGACCAGTTGTAATCAGAAAGTACGACGAAGAAGTAGTAAAGTTCTGAGAACGCCCACAAAGAGTGCTTGACATCTGTTTCGTACTGATTGAGTGAGAATTCTGTTATAAATACTGGTTATGGTCTTGCCGGAGCATCAACCGCGAACATGCATGGCTGGGACAAAAGACCACGGTATGCGAATCATCCGGGATGTTAACACTGGCATGTGGTTGTGAAAGACCTACCGGGGAGAAAGTCTGTGTTTGGATTGTGATAGTAGTAGGAAACGAATCGGACGATCACTAGGGTCAGACACCGTTTTGAGAATTTCAGAGCCCTCGTGGTAAGGAAAACTCGTACGGGTTTCGAATAGAACTACTCAAAGGGATCACCCCATGCATTTGGGTGACCAAAATATCCGAAGCGATTCCGTCAAAGAGGGTGGCCAAGGACCAAACGGATATCAGTTATTGGACCATAAACAGCGACCAATTCGGTTTGACCAAAAAAGGTTTCGTTTTGATTATTCGCATTTATCTTACGAATCGGGTACACCGTGTTATATTGGCCAAAGCAAGGAAGCACTGAATGCGATATATTACCGAAAGAATAACGCAATGCATGATTGTCAATCAGTATTGAGATATTATATGTTAATATTTATTTATAATATGTGTTTGCGAATCACTTAAGCAGTACAAATGAATGTACTGGAATGAGAAGTGTGAGCGCTTATAAAACTCGGTTGCGGGCAAAGTACCAGTTGAAAACTTTGTGTAGTCTTGATGGAGAAGATGTGAACGATTCAGTTGTCTTTCGGATTTTAATTTGGCATGTGTTTTGTCACTGTAACGTTTATGTTCATTTTAGCGACAAATTTACAGGTCACTGATAGTAGTATCAGACGCACACACAAATCTGCATCTCAGCATTCTCTCCAGAATGGCTATTATTAACGATAATAATCATATGTGTCACAGTGATGAGTTGTAGGTTAGCATGCGATCGAGAATTTTGTACGTGTATACATAGAATATATGCAATCTGGAACAACCGAAGCCTTAAAACATCAATAGATCAGGCCATCACTATTCTCTAAGAAATAACTCATGCAACAACCGCTTTTTTGAGTGCAACAATCTAGCACCGGCGCTCGATAGAATTGCAAATTTGGACATAATGACTGCGTTTATCAACTAGATACTACTCCCGACTACTACTACTACTACTACTACTACTACTACTACTACTACTACTACTACTACTACTACTACTACTACTACTACTACT